CACACACATACACACACACACACACAAACACAAACACCCACAAACACACACACACACACTCACATATGCACACACATGCACACATGCACATATACACAGATATACGCATGCACGCACTCAAAGGGAGTGTTGATGATCTTCAACTCTAGGGTTTGGAATCGCAATTCAGCGAAGCTTGTAATAGAGAATGCATTATCTCGAGGTTGACAGCACATTAACGCATTCTTCAGTGTCAACAAGGGTGACATTTCACTGAGCTCTACTGTCTGTCCCACAAATGTAACCACACCTTAGTTCAGCTTTAGTAGAGGTTTTACGGCGCTCGCAACTGAATAAGGTCATATGAGCGCCAGAATATTAGAGGTGTTACAACAGAGTTACAATCATAAAGAGAAAAAGGGGAGAAAAGGACGACAGATGTTTGATAGGAAAGAAGAAGCAAACTACACCAGAGCACCCGCCAACCACCAACAATCTCACTTTGAAAGCTCTTGCAGGTGTCGGTGACACGGGGTTTGGGTGGGTGGTCACTAGGGTTGTCCTTCAGCTAGATACGACAACCCTTGTAAGAACAGGGCGCTGCACAGTGGCGACCTGCAATGGCATGTTTGTAAAATTGCTTTACATAACTGGTTTTTTTGGGGTGTTTTTTTTTTTGGTAAGTGTTTTACGGCGCTCGCAACTGCATAAGGTCATATGAGCGCGCGGGACACGCCTAATATTTTCAGTTGGTAGGAAATTTGGAATTTTGCCCGGGTGGCGGCCGAAACCTACTCTTATCGATTTTAGACCACCAAGGGATCTTTAACGTGCGCAACTTGCACACGGGCCCTCCGAGATTTTTCGCCCTTGTCCGAAAAGGTTAGGTGTAGATCTTTCCTCAGAGAAGATTAGGGGTGATGCAGAAAGACAGCAGTAAGGAGGAGCCAAGGAGTAGCAGTAGAAAGGCTGCAGAAAGAGTCAGGAGCCCAGAGGAGGGGCAAGGGAGGTGAGGGGTGGGGGTAGAAAGTGGAAATGAAAGCAGACAACAGAACATTGCTAGAGAGCAGGAAAGGAGGTGAAAGGAGACAATTTTAGAGATGAAAATGTTTCGGTCCCTACCCGGATTCGAACCCGGGACCTTTGAATGAGAGGCCAACACCTTAACCTCTAGGCCACAAGAGCCCCCATCTCTACATATTTGGTGTAATATTGAGCTCTTGGTTTTCTTTGTATGTATATTAAGTTTGTGTTTGAATTTGTGTTCATGTATGTTTGTTGCTTTCGTAACTCAGATTCCTCTACGGGGATCAATGAAGTGTTATTTCTTTCTTTCTTTCTTTCTTTCTTTCTTTCTTTCTTTCTTTCTTTCTTCCTTTCTCTATTTATTTATGTATCTATTTCTCTATTTATTCATTTATATTATGGGATTCCATGTCCACGATGTGTTGGTCGCGTCCTTGTAGACTTAGGCTCAGGTCACTAAGGTGAGAACTGATGTCCTTGAGGAAGCCGAGTCAGAAATGGTGAAATGGTATAGTTTTAACGCTCCTCTCAAAACTGTTAGGTTATTTAACAGGAAAGGTCATGTCAGTGGTAATCGATTCGAGTCTCGATAAGTCGAAATCACTGACAGCTGCAGGTACGGGGCAGTAAGAATGTCTTGACCTGTGGTGTTCCGCTGATCGGGACAAGATGCATTAATTCCTAGACCACGTCAAGGTTTTTTCAGTATTAGTTTAGTTTTAATAAGAGTTTTACGGCACTTGCAACACAATAAGGTCATATAAGTGCCGAAGATTAGAATTGTTGCTAGAGAGCAACATACATAGGAAAGATAAAGAAGAGAGCAAACCACACCAGAGCACCCGCGAACCACCCACTTTTTCAGTTTGGACTTAGGCCCATGTCCTTTTCGTCCAATCAAGCATTTCTAAGCTAGCATGTGTAAACAAACTTCCTAGATAAACGACTAGCGGTGTGGAGTAGCACGTAGCGAACATTGACCTCTGCACAAAAACAGTCGGGGTGTGTCTATTTTGTAACGAATCAAACAATGTTTGCCTTAGTTGCGGCGACCCTAAAGAACTGGACGTCATAATACATAAGTAGAAACCACTAGAGCTACGTGCACTCCGGAGAGGGTTTAGCGACTATATATAAATCTTAGAACACTAGGTAATCCCGGAGAAGGAATTATAGCATTCTAACCATGAGGCTCTGTAGCTTCTCTACTATGTAAGTGGTTTATGCCATTCCATTTGTTACGGTAAAAGAAGCTGTAATAACAGTGGTCCTACACCTTAAAGTGTACCTGACAGGGTCACGTAGACGAAAGTTTTGCTGGCAGACAAAGTACATGTACATCCAGTTCACTCTTTCTGCTGTTTAAGAGCATAGATTCATACCCTTAGACCGCTCACTGTCGTGGCTACCACTCTTCATCTCTAGTCTACTATCTATTTGTGGTGGCCGAATTCTGCTATTCAAAAAGCTTTTTAATGGCTGCATCGATCGACATACGGTTTTCGCCAGAAGCTTCTTTAA